TTTTCGTTACAGGTAATTAGGTAAATCTTTGAAATAAAACTGGTAAATCAGATATGACTGAGAATTCTTTAAATTCTGAATAAAATATAAAAATTCCTAATATAGTACGATGCTTAATATAATATTTATAAAGAGAGAATAAATTATACAAAAAGTAAACTGCATTATGGATATAAAATATAAATAAAATTCAGCGATTTAATAACAAGTTAAAAGCAATACTTGCTTACAAATACTTTTTCATTATATAACAATTATTAATTGTATAATTAAATAAGTAACCTATTTAAAAACATTTTTTTTTTCAAAAATAAGCAAATCAGAAACATATTTTATCAACCTTTGAGTCTCCCAATCGTAGAGCAATTTTTTTGCAAAAATATTCTTGTCATAGAAAAGTTTTTTTTTTTTTCAGAATCCGCAATTGTTGGATTAATAGTAATATAAAGAAATTGTACTCTGTTCGAATACATTTCCTTTTTGTGTTTATCTGTTACAAATACTCTAAATTTTCTTTTAATTATTTTGTTAACATTTTTAACATGCGCAAACGTGTTGTTTTAAGATGATAGTCTCAACAAAAATGCATGAGCATAAAATAAAGGATACATGGTGTCAGGCTCAAATGATTGATGTTATAATACATTATAATTATAATAATTACACTCAATTTGCTAGGTATCCGTGCACATTTAAAACACCATTTTTGTCAAAATTTTCGATTTTCTAATTTCAATGTCAGTTTAAATTTTAAGCTTTTTTCTTTCTAATAGTGTTTGAATTTTGCTTATTCTTTATTTAGAACTTAAGTTATAAGAATTTGAATTTTACTCGGTAACTAATTTTTAATTGCGTTTGAAAGTTTGTTTTTGATTTTTCTCAAAATGTTTTTTCTCGACACATTTACATATGGCAACTTAGATATCAGAAAGAGTTATGAATCAAATTAACTTAAATTTTACAAGTATCTTCCTTATATAGTTTTTAAGAACCCCAACTACTTTCGTGGTTGTAAATTTGATAAGTTTTTAGTAACAAAGGCGTAAATCATGTAGTTATTGTTATAACTTTTTCTTGATTTTTCATTGTTATTTGACTAGAAACACAATAAAAATTATAATAATATGATTTTCGACATCAAAGTAGTACCAGCCCGAAACAATGTTATGATGAAAAAGATAAAATTTACGGAATAATGATTTTTTTTTTTTCTTTTTTTTTTTACTTTTGAGTTATGAACGTTATTCTGATATTAATTTTATGTACTATTTTTACCATGCTTTCTACTCCAAAATTTTTTTCGAATTAAAAGCATATTATTAAATATATTTTTCATAGGTTTAGGATATATTTTAGCCTTAAAAATATTTTGATAGCAAATATCAATGTATTTCAAAAAAATTTCTCCGAAAGGGTACGGATATATTTTATTGTCTGCTTTTATTTTAATATCCGGAAAAGAATATTGCCTACTTCAAATAATTTATCATTTGCTCTTTTTTTAACATTTAAATTAATAATTGATTTTTATTGAAGAATCGTCTGTTTTCATTTATTTATTTGGACATTGACAACGTTTTTGTATATTACAAAGTTTTGCTTGGGAAAATGAAAAGGCATTGGTTATTTGAAAATAGTACTTACTTTTCTTGATAGTAAGGGCTTCTGTGGAGCCTTAGACTCGGTAGTAAGCTTTCTTTACGTTAGCTAACATTTGTTTTGAAAAATTATACTTTTTCGAAAACTTAAGAGAAAAATGTTTTTAGCACATGTTAAAATTAAATTAACAAAGCCAGTTTCAATTTTTAACGCGTGCTAATTTTTCAAAATATTATATTTTTATTTTTCTCGTCTACAGTTGGATTATCGTGTCGTATTTATGCTTTTGTGTTGATCTATTTCTCTCTTTCCTATGAAAAGTAATTGTAAATGTCGAAAGAACTATGCATATTTAATTTCAGTAAACGACAACATACACTACTTCTGCTCCAATCCAGCAAATGTGTACTAAAAGTGTAATTATAGTTATGTACAAATATTTTCTAAATTTTTGGTATAAGCGATGTAGGTAATGATTGGAGGCTCAAATTCGTAATTTACCGGTAAATCAGGTTATTGATTTTGCACTTCATAGTCAAATACGTTGAAAATAGACTTCGTGAGCTTGAGGAAGAATGTGAGAAATTTCAGTCTCGATAATTAGTCTCGTATATCAGCTACATTACACTAGAGTGTTTAGCATAATAATTATTCGAGTACGTGACCCTACAAGAATGAGATTTCAAGGCTTTTACCACTTGATTATTTCAGTTTCTACCTAATTGATCAAATCATTAATGCCTTAAAAACTATCCTGATTTATTTTTCGACAGTAACTTTATACATTAATACCCTAAAGCATAATTAGAAGTTTTTTTTTATAAATATCCCTTAAAAGGGTAAACAAAATGCATAATTTTAAGCATTCTGACACGGTTTCAAATGCATATATTTATAATTGTTTATTTCGATGAAATTAAATTTAATTCATGTATTCGTTTTTATTAGAATAGCAAAGAAATCTTTAATCGTCCTTTCAAAAGCGAAGCATTTTATTGAATATTCTTTTGAAATAAATATTCAATTCCTTACAGGTTAAAAACGAATACTTATTCTGATCAGGAATTCATTTAATTCACTAAGCGTGCATTCGTTACTTTATTTTTAATCTCGCGTTTTAATTAAAAGAAAAATAAGGAAACAAAAATTTTTGAAAGTCGCTTGCTTTTCTAAGAAGATATTATGTATGAATTTATTAGAATTATTTCTTTACATATTGCTCTACGGATTACAGTGTTTAATTTTTTTTTTCATTATAATTCCTAATAATTCCTTTTTTTACAGCAGGATGAAACACAGAAGAGACCGCCTGAAATTGGATTTTTTGCGTATCATTACGGGTAAGTGTGTTTTGAATCAATGTTGGGCTGCAACATAATTTTTGACTTTTACATTTCAAGTTCCAACTTTTTTTATATTTAATTTTGGCAAATTTTAAGAAAGGTAGAAACTGTATTTCTAATTTTATTTAAAAAGAATTGTGCACGTATTGTGATATTATCATCTGCTAAATCTATGGCCTTAACCAATTTTTAGTTTAAGAGCAAATATTTATTTTCATGTTCAAGAGGGACCAGAAACACAAAATTAAATTTGTGAAAAGTATTTTGAATAATAAAACAATTCTTAGTTTGTGACGTTGGGCTATTTGCGATTTTCTCTTCACAAAACTCGAGATTTCTATCCAGTTAAATTGCATAAAATTACAATTTCTTCCCATCCAAAACGAAACGCGATTAGGTAAATTAGATGAAGATAGAAATGAAGTGAAGGTATTTGTAATATAATGATATGCAATTAATGGGGAAAGTGAAGAGAGATAGAGGCTAAGGACTGGAAGCCCTGAGCTTAAAAATATTCTGAACTCCACTACGAATATTAATCTAGTTACATGTTTAATATCAAATATAGTGCTGAAATCAATAACGAGTTGATTGGTAAGAGATTTCCAATATTTAAATCACAAAATAGGACTGTGAGTTAGGGTGGAACTCTAGAGGGAGCGGCCTCTATTAATCTGCGGTGAAAATAAATAATTTCGCATGTTTAATCTCATGTTTTCTCAATTAGAGAGTTCGTCACTTTGGTTTGATATATGGAATAAGATACGAATAATGATGAATGATTTCCACAACGGCACCCAACGTAGGGCTTGAACCCACGACCCCGAGAAAAAGTCTAGTGCTTTGCCGATTAAGCTAGCTGGGCTTCGAGGCGTTATCTTCCATCTCCACCTTCTTTTTTATTTAATTCTTTTTTATTTATATACTATCCTCTCTAACTCACTACACTCTACATATACAACTCTTACCTAATCACGTTTCATTCTGGTTGGGAAGAAAATGTAGTTCTATGCAATTTAACTCGATTAGAGTTCCAGAGGTTAGTGAAGGGAAAATCGCGAATTTTTCAATACCACAAATTATGTTTGATTAACTCAAAACTTTTATGAAGATCAGATTGTTTGAATAAATTATTTTTAGTATCTGTGCTGCAGTCATTTTTTCAGATGAAACTGATTCCATTTATTTCTTAAAAATTATTTATATGCATGCTTAAAAGAAACCTAAAACAAAAAGACAAATTTAAGGTATAACATTTGACCGAAAAAATACCATATATAATTACGATTCACTTTAATTATTTAAATCAAATTGCTCGATACACTTAAAACTTAATAATTTTATTTGAGTAACTGACCCTCATAGTCTATTTTGACACTCGTCTAAATACTTCTGGAGTAAGTATTAAATTATTTTTTGCTCTAAACAAGATACATGTTAACCAGTAAACGATTGTTTAGATTTTTATTCTTTTATGATTTTTAAATCCACTTTTTTTGTATTTGAAAACAAAGGATTTTCGTAAGACTTTTTAGTACGTTTAATTAATCATAATAATTTTTATGAGTTATATCAACTTAGTTTTTTACTGATTTCTTTTAAATATATAATTTTCCGTGAATAATGTATGAATTTATGATTGTTATGCTGAATTTTTTTTATAATTGATATTTTCTGAATTTTAATTTTGATATTTTGATCATGTGTGTGTGAGAGTGTGAGTGTGTGTGTATGAGTGTGTAGGATTTTCCAGCTAATTATTAAAGAATCGATTTTATTTTCCAAAGTACTGTAAAATCAGTTCTTCAGATATTCTGTAGATGGCACCACGAATCAGCGTCGTGTGATAGCTGATGCAACGCCACCTATTCCAGAATAAAACTGAACAACCTTTCGTCCTCGTCCCTCTTTTCCTCCACATTCTGCTTCTCTTCTCCTTCGTATTATTCGAGTCGGAAGTAAATTTCGAATACCATAGCGCGTTCTAGCGCCCTTCGCCGATATGGGTTAAATGAGGCAGCCATCTATATTGCTCCGATGAACTGGTCAATTCGTCGTCTCATGGTGTATATCTTTTCATCCTTCATCTCTCCATTTAATGAACTTAAGCAAAACTACAGCAAGCATCATCATTGAATTTCTAAAAAAAAAAAAAACTGTATCCGGTAATGGAATTGCCCCCCTAGACAACCAGCCCTTTGCATAAGAGCAAACCATCGTAGATTAGGGCTGTACAATCTCATCACCCCACAGTCAATATATATATATATATATTGAAAATTTATGAAAGAATAATTTAAAATATTTAAAAAGACAAAAATCCAGAAAGAAATGTAACAATGAAAGAAAAATAAATGAAAATATGGAACCCAGCAAGTCAAAAAGCAATATCGGGCTGAGGACCGATTAAGCGGGGTTAAACTAGTTTAATGGTACCAACCTTCCCCCTTTGCGACTTGGTAGGCTGAATTAGGAAATCCAAATTGCAAAAGAGTTCGTGATTAAAAGATGCAAACAAATTCAGCGATAAAATCTACAAAAATAAAATCTATAATTCCTGGTAGGCTGAATTGGGAAATCCAAATTACAAAAGAGTTCAATGATTAAAAAAATGCAAAAAATTTCAACGATAAAATTTACAAAATAAAATCTATAATTCTAAAAATTATCAACCAATCAAAATATAAAAATTACTTACAAAATTCAAAGAAATGAAGATTCAAATATGTGAGTAGTAAGACGGAATTTTCTTTAAGCTTCAAGATGTATATCACATACTCAAAATGAAAAAATATAACACATCATCACCATATAAATTGAAAAAAGATTTAAATCATTGTTTGATTGGTAATAAAATGTAAAAGGATGCAAACAATTGGTTGGTAATAAGTTGTATGGTAAAAAAGTATAACGGTCCAGAGAGTGAGTAAAAATGTAAGCTGTGTAAATGTAAATAAATAAATAAATTCTTCACGGCTAGACCACTAACAAGCCGACTTTGTGGACCTATTATTGTGTGGTGGATTTGAAATTGGATCACGATTCGCAAAGATGTTTAATATATTTGTGATGTATATAAGTATTTAAGAAATTTATTGGATAATCATGATCCAAACAGTTGTAAAGAATTTTTTAATATATTTTTTAATATATTTTTTTATATATATATTAACCACAATTCAGGACAATATAATATTATATATATATATATATATATATATATATATATATATATATACATTCTTCATTGTTTTAATTTTTCTTTCTAACAGAGTATTATTTCTGTGAATATATTATAGACTGCTATTTATAGGATATATATTACTCTATAACATGATTAATAGCTTTTTAACGCTGAATATCTGGTGATTTTTTGTGCCATGAAAAGAAAATCAATATATTGGCTCTTCTGTCTGCGTAAGTATACGTATTTTTAGAATTTTGAGACTATGATTAATCTCAACATATGAAAGAAAAATCTCCCCTCTTACCTGAAAATAATTTAATATTTCGGATATTCAATCTTTGAAATCCTTCAGTCTTGTTCTTTTTTCATAAAATATGCATCACACATTAGATGACCTATAACAAACTCTCATGTGGATTTATCGATAATGAAGGCAATATCTCTGTGTGTGATCTATACTCCATTTAATGAGAGATTATGAATACAGCGTGGTTTTATTTTCACGAGTAAAAAGTCTTAATAGCCAGAATTATAATTTGGTCTGCCTGGGCATCATCTTAAAGCTACTGGAATAGGATTTCAAGGTTGAAAGTAAGGACGAATGAAAATAACGAAATAATAGAAAAAAGAAAGTAGTTGCAAGGCAAAATGAAAAGTTTCGTTTCTTTTTTAATAAACTTCTACTATTTTCCCCTGAATTGTGGATAACTTATTTTGAAATGAAATCATTCTAGATTTATTAGATACGTATTCGTAAAGAGACTCTTAATTTCGAACGAAATTTTAGGAGAAAATAATATGCTTTACTATTTCTTAATATTTTACCACGCCTTGATAATATTTTGAGGTAAAAGTACTTCTAGCACCTCCCATCCTTTATTGAAATGTGTATTTTGGGCCAATCTTACTCAGTAATAACTATGAATGTCTCCATTTTACATTAGTTACATTACATTATTCAGTACTATTTTAATTAAGTATTCAATAGATATTTATTTATTCAATTGGTCTAGCTGCAGTTTGAATCATGTTGAACAGTGTGTACATTAGTTCGAGTTTATAATTTAACAGTGGGTAACTAACGCTTCTCTATATGGTTCGTGTATAAACGTGACTCAACGGTTTTTTTTTTTTTTTTTTTTTTTTTTTGTAGTTCACCAAGAGTCATCTTGGGAGTGCACAATTCTTTTTTGCATAAATGTTTTTTTTTCTTGGGCGTGCGTAAGACTTATTTATTTAAATTATGAAAATTCTGCATTCAATGACAAATTTTGTTAATATCTTCTAAAATACGTATTATGCCTTCTGTAAAATATAAAAAGCGATCTTTCATATCAATTCCCTCAATATATTTTCCACGTGGAATAATTTTTGCGATTTAGAACAAGTTTTCTTTTCATATATATTCACTAATAATACTTCAAATATATACGTCATATTAATAATCATAAGTATTCTAACAATTTTAAATTTCTTCTTACAACATCAATAAGATTGATTAATTTTTCGGGGAAATCATTTATTTTGGGAATTGACAATATTTTTTTTTAATGAACGTCTATTGCCGCACGCTTAAATTTCATACCTTGTATCTAATGTCACAAATAGGGGTTTAAAAGTACCTTTAAATGTTTTCAGTTAGTTTTGCGTTGTCTTTTAAAAAGGCTTTTAGGTTTCAAAATCTTTGTGTGTTATTTAAGCTTTCATTTTCAACTATGATTGACATGAATTGCGTTTTAAAAAGTTGGTATTCTTCTTAAATAATCAAACATTAAGGTAAAGGGAAATCGGGAATTTTAATTATCGGTTTTATAATATTTTCTGGAACACTTTTGACTTTAGTCACTGTTTTACAAAGCTTTGATGTAATAACTTTCCCTCTTACCTCCAAATCTTCCATATCTGACTCCATAGCGAAACTCACATTAAGGGGTTTTGTCAGATCAAATTCTTTCGGAATAATCCATGAGTATAATTTATACTCGTGATTTTGTTTTTCACTTCAGCCACTATATCCTGTTTTTGCTTGAGAATTGTGAAGTCCTCTTTGGGCGTAGCTTTCGGTCCACGGGAATCCATGGTTTTCGTAAATCTGGTAAATTTTACCTCAAACGGTTTATTTTTTGAGTATAGATTTCATGCATTATGAACTTCGTTTTTCTAAGACCGCAATGTTATAGAGCTCAAAAGGATAATAAGGAAGTGGTCTGTATTATTATAAAATAAACTTTTTGTAATATAAAAACATAAGAATAAGGCAATATGTAAATAAAATTTGCAGTAATAACATATGGTTATAAACACACTCTTAAGAAAGAGAAATTCTCCCGAACAAATGAGGTGACAGCTCATAAAGACCAATCAAATGAAAATGAAAAAAAGAAAGTTTATTCCGCTGCAATCAAAAAATTGCACTCCAGAAATAATGCTCACGGGGCGGTAAAAGGGTGTAAAACCGCACAACCGACAAGGGAACGCCTGAGCGAAAACAACATCAGAGCACTTTAGATTATCCGCTTGTTTCATAAACATTTCATTACTATACAGCATTTTAAATTGAAAAAAAAATGTCATAAAATTAATGTGTGTCCTTTTCTTCAAAATTGTGTGTGTGTGTGTGTGTTATCATTGATATTCCTGATTCCATTCATTGAAAAACTCGAATTTCTGCACTTAAT